TATGATACAGAACATCACTAACGTTATAAAAAGAAAAGAAAATCCAAACTTAGAATCTCTCCTCATTTTCTATCCAATGCCTAAAATTTTCAGCTCATAAACATATACACTTTGCATATAAAGTGTGCAGTTCATTCTAGAAATAGCTTCACGTGTTATTTTTTTTGTGGTTTGGAATGTAGGTGGTATCAGACGTCTCTTGAAATAATATAACAATTAGGTGTTTTTGTTACTTTATCTAAATTAGATCTTGAAAGATATTTTAGAGTGATCAGTTTCCAGAACTTTACTTTGTGTACTGCTTTCTGGTGTTTGATAGTTATAATTAAAGTTGGTCCTTTCACTACGAACCTGTTGGATAAGGCAGCTACCATTGTTTGATAGTTATAATTAAAGTTGGTCCTTTCACTACGAACCTGTTGGATAAGGCAGCTACCATTGTTTGATAGTTATAATTAAAGTTGGTCCTTTCACTACGAACCTGTTGCATAAGGCAGTTACCATTGTTTGATAGTTATAATTAAAGTTGGTCCTTTCACTACGAACCTGTTGGATAAGGCAGCTACCATTTTTTGATAGTTCTAATTAAAGTTGGTCCTTTCACTACGAACCTGTTGGATAAGGCAGCTACCATTTTTTGATAGTTCTAATTAAAGTTGGACCTTTAAATGGCTAGGTGGTTAAGGCACTCGACTCGCAATCTGAGGGTCGCGGGTTCGAATCCCCGTCACACCAAACATGCTCGCCCTTTCAGCCGTGGGGGCTTTATAATGTGACGGTCAATCCCACTATTCGTTGGTAAAAGAGTAGCCTAAGAGTTGGTGGTGGGTGGTGATGACTAGCTGCCTTCCCTCTAGTCTAACACTGTTAAACAGGCGATATAGTTAAATTGGCTAGCTATATTCTGGATCTCAATTTGATAGTGATTAGTCCAGGAAGGTCCTTCAGTAACAGGTGGTACAGCAGTAGTAGTAGTAATAGATGTAGTATATGGTGTTTTAGGCTGGAATTCTTCGGCAGATGCGGGAAGAGGTACGGCTGGTTTTTAGTTACCAATTCAAACTTGTTATTGTAATCCCCCTGAACGTCCCCAATAGCTTTGTGAGTCTTTTATTCAATCACATTTATTTTTGTTCTTAATTCTTCCTTAAATGTTTATTTTATCTCTCTCTTAAATTCCCGTCTTTTATCTCTTGATCTTCTTTAAATTTTCTTTGAAGTTCTTCTTGGTATATTTCAGTTTTCTTTAAATTTCTTCTCGATTTTATTTTTTTGCCCCATCTCTTTTCTCTTGGTCTTCGTTTCACAGTTTCATCATTTTCAGCAGATTTTTGATCTTGCTTCTTGCCTGAGTTATTAGTTTGAATATTAGTCAAAGTTCTATTTTATTTTCATCAAAATCATCCCACTTCTGAAACCAATTCTGTAAAATGTTCTACCGTTGGGCAGGCTATTTTTGGATCATTTGGTAAAAATAATGCCGAGTCCAGTCCACATAACGATATCGAATTAATTTACTTCTTGCATAACGTTTCCTACAGGCTACATCCAATTTGACACAAGTCGTAAGCCTAAGTTCACAAACAATATTTGAACAGTAATTTCGGGTTAAAAATAGACTTACTTCCAGAATTTTTTCCTAATCGATCGATTAATTTAATAGGCTGATAACTCACTGAATAATTCACTGACTATTTATTAAATTTTCACACAATGAGTACTCTTGTTTAGAATGTATTCTCGTTTCTCAAAATTCCGCGAAACTTCTATGTTATTACATCATCATGCTTAGGAACCTTCTCTAGCAAACAATTAAAATTATAGCTTTGAATATATAGCTCACAACAATATAAACCTGAGGTATGTTTAATAAGAAATGGCAATACTTCTGACTGTTTTAGATTTTTGGGGGACCATATAATTTGGCGTGAAATATAAAATTATCAATTAGGCCCTCTGAATAATCTATTAGGAGGAAGAGGTCTGATTGAACCTGACCCTCCCAGGTCGGTCACTACGACCGAATATCCATCCAGATACTTCAGTAACTTGTATTTAATGAAAACATTTTAAATTTATTTAAACGAATACTTCTTTCTTTTCATTATTGGTTAGAATCTGTACAATTATCTTTGCTAACGTATGCGAGACATTTTTGGCGTGTCTAAAGTGGTTACTTTTAAAATCTAAATAAGCCTGAGTATTTCTCAGTTTATAAAAAATATAGGTTTATAAAGAGCTATTGTCAAATTTTCAATTAATATATCCAGTGACGTATATAAAGGGTTATGGTGGCTAGGTATTGTGCCTTCATCCTCTTATGTCCTAAAAGTGCTCTTTTTTCTCAGTCTTAAAATTTTCTCCACAACTACTAAAAGACACGCCTGATTTCCACCGTACATGCTGCAAGTTAGAAAAGAAAAACAATTTCAGCTTTAAAATGAACAGCACACAAAGCCTCGTAGGTCTTTACAGTAGAAAACTAAATGTGATATGCTATTAAGTATTAATGCGCAAAAATTGAGTGTTTAGTGTTAGATTTTAAAAGTGTTTATAAAACCGACTGAATAGTAATAAAAGAGGATCTATTTACTTCTCATAATTTTCTACCTTATGTGTACCAGAGGTAACCTACAGTCCCAGTCTCTTCCCCCCCCCCATAAAAAGTCTTGCCTTGCGATGCTTGAAAAGTGCCCTTTTTTGTCAATGAGTCCTGTCTTTTTAATTTATCCAAGAATTGTATCATTTTATAAGATGTTTCGTAAGTGAGGTTAATGTTTAGCTTTAGATCATTTAAAACTTAAACTTTCATTTCAAATGGTAAAATAATCATCAATGCATCTGAGTCAATGTGACGTCACGTATGAGCTAACAGCTAACACTTGACTTCATTTTTGTTGATTAACAATTGTGTACATCTTTCTTCCTAAAAAGGCCCGGTATGGCTAGGCGGTTAGGACGCTTGACTGGCAATCTGCGGGTTCGAATCCTCGTCACAACAAAATATGCTCGCCCTTTCCGCTGTGGGGGCGTTATACTGGTATGGTCAGTCCCACTATTCGTTGGTAAAAGAGTAGCCCAAGAGTTGGGGGTGGGTGGTGATGACTAGTTGCCTTCTCTCTAGTCTTACACTGCTAAATTATGGACGGCTAGTGCAGATAACCCTCGTGCAGCTTTGCGCGGAATTCATCCCACCTCTAAAAAGCCCAATTATTAAAATACCATAGGAAGGTGTCGTTGTTGTAACCATGGCAGCTACTCTTATCCGATGGCAGAAACCATAATTACAGATAAAAATAATTATTTTTCAGTACTAATTCAATAGCTGCAATTAAACGTTCCTTATTAATTCCGAAACGCAAAAGACCTGGATAACGTTCACCAAAATAATTTAAAGCTATAATATCAAGTTCATGTTCAATAATATTGTATAATGACACGATATCTGGAGTAATTAAGCTGGTGTTATGACTAATTTCACAAGACAGTTTAGACATAAAATCTAAATCATCTCTCAAATAAATATTAACTTTAACAATAAACGTTTTTAACAGTTCATCCATTCCTCGGTGGGTTAGCGATAAGTCCTTGCAACACTAAAATCCAGGGTTCCATTGGTGTCCTGCAAGAATATGTCTAGTGCATAAGCATTATTTAGAACAAAAACGTTAGTTTGAAATATCTTTTTATTTGTGTTTTTTGGTAAAACAGGAGTAAAATTAACTATTTCCAATTTATTAAGTCACCCTTTGTACTTGTGAATTGTTTTTGTTTTTAACTATGCACAAAACTACACAAGGGCTATCTGTGCTCTGCCCCCCACGGGTATCGAAACCCGATTTCTACCTTTTAAGTCCGCAAACATATCGCTGTGCCACTAGGGGGCTGTACTTGTGAAGAAAATATTTTATTTTGTATGTTACATCTTTATCAGAATCATTTGACTCATTGTAAATATAAGTTGTAATGTTCTATAACCAAAACACTTTTTGGACATTAAAACTATTATGTTCCATTTATCGACTTTTTAATATATCTTTAGAACAAAGATTACGTAACGTTTTCCTGCTAGTATTATTAAAAAAATTTAAATTAAGAGTTTGTTTGTTTGTTTTGAAGTTAAGCACAAAGCTACACAATGGGCTATCTGTGCTCTGCCCACCACAGGTATCGAAACCCGGTTTCTAGCGTTGTAAGTCCGCAGAAGGAGAAGCTCGTGCCCGCTTTTTAAAAAATTTCGAAAGGTTGTTATGGTTTTTTAGCACAAACTTACACGATGGATTATCTGCACTCTGTTCACCGTGGGAAATTGATCCTCGGGCTTCAGTGGTGTAAGTCCATAAATTTACCGCTGAGCATACCGCTATCAATAAAAATAAATTCATAAGTATTGAGCAACAGTGGCTTCGTCAAATTTTGTGGCCTTAAATACCTTTTACTTTATGTTTATAATAACTAATTGCTCTCTAAAAAAAAACTTCGCCATTTAATTAATGTAAACGTTGTCATGGTGGTTTGGGGGCGTGAATTTTGCGCAAAGCTACTCGAGGGCTATATGCGCTAATTGTTCTTAATTTTAAAGTGACAGACTAGAGGGAAAGCAACTTATCAACAACACTTACCGCCAACTCATGGACTACTCTAATCGAATAGTGGGATTGACTGACACTCTTAAAACGCACCCAAGACCCCAAAGTGCTTCTATTTATTCATGGTGGTGAAGGAGGCGCGAACCTCAGATCTTCAGAACCACAGACCGGCACAGTCGTGATAATGCGCACGTTTTATACGCGAAAATGGTGGACATTGTGAACGACGCCTTATCGGTTCCCAAACAGTTGCACACATAATACAAGTTATTACGAAATTACAATACAATGAAAAGGCTTAGCCAGCGTTAAAAAAGTATTATGTAAAAATATATAAATACGTATTAACAATCTGGTGTATCGAAGAAACGCATTATTCTAAGCTAACGAAACGCATCAATACAAGCGTTCGACTTTATTTGAATCATTAATTTTTATTACATGAAGACAAATTCAAGCTACAATTTATTTCGCACTTCTGAAATGACAATACGGATAGCAGAGAAGTACAAAATCTGGCAAAGTATATATAGAAAAAAGGAGACACTATGTACACATACCAAGTAGAATATAAACAGGCTAATCGTGACTTCAACAATACACGAATTTCTTATAACTAGTGACAAAGTACATAATAGGTTTACACGTAATTGTTCTGCATACGAAGAAAACAGTTAAAAATCTTTTTACAACACACGTTAATACTTTAAAACTCTAAGAACTTTTCAAGATGCTATTTTAGCTTCAACAATATAAATAATTAAATCACAATCACACATTAAATATCATTACACTTCATAAGACACAATATTATGTACAGTCATTTACAAACTTGTAGTTTTAAGTACATGATAAATACATAGACATATACTTGGAAAACATTATACATGATAATACATAATACTAGTATTTGTTTATTGTATTACATTTTACTAATTCGATCAAGCATATCCATTTTAAAACATTCTTTTACCTGTACTTTGAATCATCGTTTTTAACTCTCGTTTATCGAAGACCAGTTTGGGGACTCGCAATGAACCGCTACATATACCGCCATCTGTTGTCAGCTTTAGAAACGCTATTTCTAATTTATATATTGAAATTAAAGGTAGCTTAGTTCATATCAAGTTTTCGTGGTAATGCAGAAATGTTACATAGCTTTCCATATATTATATTTTCTAAAATGCTCAACAGATGGCAACAGGTTTGATATATAACAGAGAATATTATCGTTGATAAAATACAGCCGTTCATTACGACTATAATTTATAAACCCCTTGCTACTACAGTTAAAATATCAGTTTTCTCATAGGTTAGCATAATAGAAACATGTCCATTAAGTACAAATAACTATAGTTCCTGCTATATCAGTATAACTAAACTAATATTACCGGAAAGAATCTCTCTTGAAACATGTATTTACTAATAATAATCCAAGTTTGTGAGAAAGCACCTTTTGACCTTATAATTTTCCTTTACAAATGTACATAACACAATGGGAAGTTGTCTATAAGTGTTTAATTTGCAGGGTTTGCATGAAATTCTAAAAGTTAAGTAACTTATTTCAAAATACAGAAAAAACCACATTAATTTTGAGAACATGTTCAGTACAGTTTAGATTAACAGTAGTGTTTCTCATACCTTCCCATAGTTTAACTTTGCATTATATCTCATGGCAAGAACATGCGCACCAAAGTTCCATAGTAAATTTTATTAACATCGAATTGTCTTATTTTAAAAAATGATTATTACGAGCAAAAAAAATAATTCTCAACTGCGAATTATTAGATATTTAGATGTACGAGTATATTATTAATGATTATTACGTTGCATAAATACACAAATGTGAACCATAAAATTGTCTCACAATAATTGATGTTACACAACAAATGACAATTTTTCATTACAAACCCATAAAATACCAGCAGACACACTAAACGTCACTAACACATTAACCAATGAACCATCACTATCTGTCCCAACCTTGTAATGACTCATGGTAACACTTTTACTCTGTAACATCATCAAATAACGCTGCCATGGCACTCTATTTGTGTGCTAAATAAGTATAAATTGTATTGAAAATGACAGTAATATACTGTAATAATAATAATAACAATACATTCTTTTTAAAGCCACTGAAATTAGCACAGAAATAAAGAAAATATTTATATTATATTTTTAAAGGACACAAGTAAATGAAATACAACAACAAAAACACGACAATTCGAGAATAAATTAATGGAGGTAAGTATTATCCACTGATAATACAGAATTTACCAGAAGTAAAACAAACGAAGAAATAGTTAAGGTTTTTTTCGATGAATATGTCATTAAACTTTTATAAACAGAACAATTCTTATGACAAATGTAAGTTTGTACACTTACTGTCGTTTCCATTCCTGATCTTTTAGATTAAAATCTTCACTTCTTACCGTTAGAATAGGTTATTCCAAGTTAAAGTAAGATACTTATCTATGTTTCGTGCTTACAAAATCTTAAACAATTCGTGTATAATCATTACACCTTCAAACAGAATGATAATTAAATGAAGAATAATATTAATTGTACGAATAACTGAAAAAAAAAATGTATTATTTTTCTAACACTGGTCATTCATTACTCACGTTTTACGTAAGAGGCCAGTGCAAGGTTTTGACAGAGAGATAAATTTAGGCATAACTGGTTATTTCTTGGGATGCATCTCGCTTTTCTGGAATCAATAACCGTTACATACGTGCAAAGTTAAAATGAGCCAGTAAAAAAAGAAGAAAAAAAAACGTTTTTCCAGTCCAATAAGTTAGGCTCTTATGCATCACCCACGTGTATCATGTATTGTTGAATATTTTCAGTGAAGAAAGTTATAACTTCATTCGTTTTTTTATTGTTGTTTTTCGGTCTTTTATTTATTTAGTGCTGCCCTACATAGACTCACAGCAACATTTAGTGGTCTACCATTCCACAAGGTGATTTCTTATATTAAAAACCTGTTAGTTATCTGCACTGACTTTATTTCATAGCGTCCATAATTAGTCAAGGCAAATTAACAAACCATCACATTTTAATCTAAAGTAGGTTAGCCTCTTAACGTATATATATATTATATATATATATTTATTTAATTTTGCTCGCGTAACTACGTTACGAAAATAATCTATTAAATAAAAAGAAGTAAGGAAAGCTTTGAAAGTCACATACACTCCAACTTAACACAAACATTTTCTTAATAAATAAATAATTTCTGATTATAGCCTTCCCTTCAATATATTAAGGCGATGTACCTCTGACAAACTAGTGTTATCTGACTACCATTACTGCTGGAATACTCCGACAAAACAAACACGCTGCAAAAATAACAAGTTGATAACAACAAGCTAGAAATGAAAAAAAAAAAAAACGAGATTTATATTGAGAAAAACATTATTCTCTTCACTATTGACGTAAGTACATGGACATTGTTTTCACTTATCTGTTCAAATCAATGGGTGATTTTTTTTCAAAGAATGTTAACTCTTAAGGATTAATCTCTAGACAGCTGCCAGTGGTTGAACTGGAATAATTGTATTAAATTCATTAAATAATTCGCATTTTATTTTTTACTTTGGCACCAAAGCACATAATTCTTGTACCCTGTTTTATCAGGACGAAAAAATTTAGTTTTCAACAAAAAATAAAATCACGTCACAATCCCTCATCTTTCATTACTAAAAAGAAATTTGTTTAAACATGTATGTTTATTTTATTTGCCACATTATTATTCCTAGTGGTGTTGCAACCAAACTATACGTTACTTTTTATTACAACCATTTTGTAATACATTTACGAAAAAATATACAGAAACATTTAATAGAATTGTTTTCTGCTTAACTATATCATTATCTTATTAATGCCTCCCATATATTTTTTTCCTTGGGGAGGGGGGGGGGGTGATTTAACGTTTCTCAGTAACTGCTTTAAAACCACGAATACAATTTTAAAATCTGTTTTATATACATACATATACACACACACACACATAAATATATGTGTGTATATTTTTTTATGTATATACATAAGGAGAAATCAATTTTTTTTCAAAGACAATAAAGGCATTTTTTTCCTACTTGAGGTGTATACAGTATAAGAAGGTTACAGATATTTTGGGTTATACAGTCTAGTTCCTTACAAACTTCTATAGAACAAACTGTATGATTTTTTTTTTTTCATTTTAGTTGCTGATGTACATGTTAAAATAAGTTTACAATCTCAAGATGGATATCCAGAAAAAAGGACATCTCTACTTTTTATGACACCACCCAAATATATTGAAACATGGTCATCTACTAAAACAACCTTACCAGTTCTTACAACAAATATGGCTATTCCATACATCAGGGAAGTATTCATATTTATGCCTAAAAACAGTTAATAATTAAAATTGAATCTAGTTACAGAAAATATAAAAGAATTGGTAAATTCAATGTATTTTTCGAGCACATCCAAGCAGTCACTATGACTACAGAAACCTTCGTAAACAGTATGTCTATAAAAACGTCTGTCAACCACTATGTCTTCACAGAAACTCTTGACAACCAACATGTCTACAGAAACCTTTGGAAAACAGTATGTCTATAAAAACGTCTGTCAACCACTATGTCTTCACAGAAACTCTTCGCAACCAACACGTCTACAGAAACCTTTGGAAAACAGTATGTCTATAAAAACGTCTGACAACAACTATGTCTTCACAGAAACTCTTGGCAACCAACACGTCTACAGAAACCTTTGGAAAACAGTATGTCTATAAAAACGTCTGACAACCACTATGTCTTCACACAAACTCTTGGCAACCAACATGTCTACAGAAACCTCTAGCAAAAAACCTCTAATCTCTGAAACAACTCCTAGTAAGCATGTATCTACAGGCTTTAAAAATTGTCAAGTTATCTAATAAAATAACACAGGTTCCCTGAAAAATCACATTTATCTGTAAACAAAACAGCTAAAATCACATATTTATATCCTGTTTTAGCTGTGTAATTTACAAATACAAAGAGTACTTAACCTACATGCATAGACTTTACACCTTAAACTTTAATCGATTACTCACTATATCCTCTACATTTGTTAGTATTGGAAGGTAGTGACTGAAGTGTCTCTGAAGACCCTTGTCATTACTGCTCTGAAACACAAACACTGGTTAACAGTATGATTCTAGATTTCATTCTGTAGATGTAACTATAGTACACATGCACGTTCTGACAACTGATAGTATTCAGAGCATACAAATCCTGGTGTTTAGTGTGTTGTCAGAACTTAAACCTCAGTAATTCCTGAACTCCTTAAATTATCCTATTTATTTTAACAATAAATGTTACATCTTGGGAATTACTATTCTAAATAGACCTTAGACCCTGCCATCTAAAAATAAACCTTTGACTTTGGCAGACATTGTATTTGGCATGTTTATATATCTTAATTCCTCATTTCTATTCTAACTACCTTATTAGCAGCTCCTGTAATTAGTATTTTACACAACAGAAATTCCAACTAGATGTATAGTCCAAGAACAGGTCTTAGCTTGGCATTTACAGTATTTAGCATCTTTACACAATGTCCATTCTTCACACCTAATCTCACAACAAATGTTAACCTATATTAATTGTTACTGTACTTAATATCTTTACACAATGTCCATTCTTCACATCTAATCTCACAACAAATGTTAATCTATATTAATTGCTACTGTACTTAATATCCTTACACAATGTCCATTCTTCACATCTAATCTCACAACAAATGTTAGCCTATATTAACTGCTACTGTACTTAGTGTCTTTACACAATGTCTATTCTTCACAGTCCACACCTAAGCTTACACCAGTTGTTAGGCCTTAACAGCTATTATATAAAGTATGTTTACGCAATGTTAATTCTTCACATCTATTTTACTCATACACCTTGGATATTAGCAGTGAACATGCGTAGTGTTTTTGTACAATACTAATTTCTCACATCTAATCTAACAACAGACATTAGACATCAGCAATTACATGCTCTCTATTATGTTTTCATAATGTCAATTTTCCACATCCAGCCTTGACAATTTTTATACTGTGCACTCTGCTTAACATTCAGGTCTAACCTAAAAATAGATTCTAAGCCTTTGCAGTTACTGCCATTTACATAAATAAGTGAAATCCTGATATCTACATCTAGTATAATTACAGATCCTAGACCTTGACTGTTCATCCTGGGTGTCTGCAAAATTGGAACCTAGCCATATACCGTATCAGATATTGTAGTATGGGCACTCCTGACATCTATCGACATAACCTTGAACAATTAGTACAAATACTACAAACCTTAAAGTCTGGCAGCCAAAATACCATAAAAACCTTAACAGCTACTGAAATATAAACATACACACAAGTTATTAAACATAGCACTTACTGATGTATGTACTATAAGTTCTTTGTGGCAGGTGTTACTTTAAAATAACTGAGGTATGTATAGAGTTTGGAATTACAAAATGGAATGCTTGTAGCTATCAACCTTATAGTGTAGCAACTAGGACATCTACAGGTTGTAAATCCTAGTTACCATATAGCAGCTACATGTTCTGATTTACTAGCACAGGAGGTACATTGTAACTACAGACCTTCTATCCTTGTTCACCAGTAATCTTAAATTTCAGTAACCTATTGTACCTACTAATCCATTCTTATAAGTTGGCAACTAGGGTGTCCAAAGAACCATAAAATAATACATATTTTCAACACTCTCAAGAAATGTAATGTACTAATCTCCCTCAGAAGGAAACAGAAACATTTCTCCTGACCAATTTTAATTTTAAATACACTAAACTTTCAAACAATAAACAATATTTCTACTGCAATGAGATTTTCGTGTTGTTTTTTTTTATCTCTATGTGTAAACATCATTGCATGATGAAACACCTCAATTTTTGTAAACAGATAAGGCTTAGAATTATCCCCTGATATGATGAGATTCAAATTACATGGTCTCTACAGTTAATGTATAATACTATCAGGAGGCTCCTGTTTGCCATTCAAAAGGAATTATTTTCACTTCACACAAATTAATTAAGTATAAAAATTGTACATAGTACAAGAAAATATAAAAAATAATAATAATATTATGATTAAGTTCACTAAACACACAATTTTCATCAACTTTTATAAAATGAGCAAGTTAAAGCACTTATTTTACTACTATTAATATATATCTACTAAAGAAATAAATAATAAAGAAAACAATTTAATGAGTATTAGAACTATATAATTTTGAGTCACAATACTCCCAAACAGAAATACAAGGTTTCAATAATAGAAAAAAAAACATTACAAATAAATCGCAAAACAACGATTTAGACTTTAAATAAATACAGCAAGTTGTAAAATTGGTATCAAAGTCACGATTTCAATAAATCTGAGTAACAGTCCGATACGAGC